GCGACGTGGCGGCCGTTCGCTCGTGTTTCGCGAATTTCATGGACCGCCTCGAGACACGGTCGTCCACGCAAATTGCACCTGTCACGAGGCGTCGTAATTAGCGCGGTCCTTAAAATCTCTGAACCTCGTATTCCTGATGAATATTTCTTGTTGTTAACGAAATGAAAATTGTTTACAAGATCTACGAGAAGAGTGACTTAGCACAGAAACTGAAATGTTTGAATATAAAAACCATGTTTATTATAACTAAAAGAATCCTGAAAAAGAAAATAAAGAACGATGCTATCTGGTCACTAAAGACTACTAAGTAGCACGATAGTAAGTTCTGAGGAAGATGAAACGGAAGCGAGTGGAGACAAATAAACTATTAGAGTAGTCAGTAGGCGGGTAGTAGGTCCTTAGCTTGGTTAAGGGCTAACAAGTACGCGCTTAGTGTTCGACTAGCAGAGATCACGGCGGTACACACGTACATATATGTATACATGTACTTGTGAGACGTCGAGTTGACTGGTAGGCGCCTCTCTAACTAGCCACGCATGGCGAGCACGTGTGGAGGTGTCGACTGCCCTACCGACCCTTTTCCTCGACCCTCGCCCTTTTTCTCTTTTTATCTCGTTCTTTAGTTCCTTCCCGGCCGGGCCTTCCGTTCACGCGAAACGCTCCATTTCACGCGGCATGAAATCTGAGCGAAAATATTTGGGCGCCCCATGCAATTGGCCGCGACACTCAATCTAACCGCCCCTTCGACAGAGGAATTTTAATTTTTTCTCTGGTGTTCGGTTTCATTCTCACTTTCATTCTATTTGTTGGATGATTTGTCCCGTTTAATTACAGTAGTTGGTTTATCCGAAGTTAAGAGTTACATAGACCGCCGTGGCCTTAAACACATACAAGTGCTTATTTTCTGAACTTTGTTATCGGTTATCAGCTTTGAAATAAATAGCAACTACTTAATTATATTTGCGAATGGCTAATTGTACAAGTTCGCCGAGCCATTTAGCTCACTTCTCAGCTACTATCATCAAAAGTGAGGGGCTCTTTGAATTAAAGATCGTGGATCAGAGCAAGAACTCCTCGAAAAAGTCGCAGACGTCTTAAACCACTTAAACGAGGATTTCTCGCGGCTCTTTGAAGTTTTCCGAGGACGCGATGGGTTTCGCGGTGATTTTCCGCGCCGGGGTGTGTATTCTAATTTCACGACGGTGGCCGCGATGAAATTGACCGCATCGCGGGCACACTCGGGGCGAATGGCAGAGACAATTGGCCGGCCGCGAGGGGATCAGCCGCGTCCCACGAAAGCGGCTTACCGGGCAGAAAATGAAATTTAATTAACTGGAAACGACGCCTGAAATCGGGCGCGCCGCAATGCCTACGACGTCGTCGAGAATTTTTAACGAAATCACTCAAGAATTGTCATTACAAAAGTACAGTAATATACCAAAAAATATTTCTTCTTCCGCGTAGCTCTTACGCCAAAGATCGTCTATGATAAAATACAGTGAACAATGTCGACGACACAGAACTTAAAGGTCGGAATCAATCGATACGTGTGCGATTTGACGTGAAATGGCTTGTGAGAGAGAACAAGGCCGGAAAAACAATCGAGAGGTAGCGCAGTGGGAGTCAAATCGACGGATGGAGGAGAGGAGCGCGCAGGTTCGCTAATACAAAAGGGGGACCCCGAGATTACGATCTTCCATTCGTTCGCTCGTTCCAATTATTTTGTCCAATTATAAATATCGATTTTCTCTTCCCTATCCAACTGCTGGATTTCAATCCGCGATTACCCCCTGGCCAGGGACAAACCTGGATTTCTCGGAACCCTATGTCAAAGTATACATTATTAGTATTCCTCCTCGACTTATGAATTTTAAATGGACTGTTGAAGGGTTTTTTGATTTTATAAAGCTAAATGGTTCAAGGATTGAGGATGCTCGACATTGATGTTCAATTTATTTATCATTTGGTTGGCTTGCTCTTCTTTATAGTGGGTTCTTTTCTCTTGCGAGTATTTTTAATCTGATTAATAAAGCGATCTTGAAAGTATAGCAACAGCACCTGCAACGAGACATCTGTATTTCTCTTGCATGAGCTAATTGATTGAGTAAATATTTGGAAAATTACGCAAGCGATTTTGGTATCGAGGCTGCTTCATCAACTTGTACAGAGAACAATGAGTGACGGTACAGAAACCTGGACGTTATGAATGGATAAAAGGAAGTCGAAGGTTTTCTTTATTCATTTATCATTCCATTAGTACGAGACCAATAAGAAGCCTATTGATAAATCAGAGACGAAGATAATATTCTTCAATCAAAATCGATTCTCATTATTTTTACCAACTACGAAAAATACATTTTTAAAATCCACACATCTTAAAATAGAAAATGACTAATCACAGAAAGATAAATTTTTCCACGTCTGCCCTAATAAGAGTCGTCGCAACAGGGAAGAGGACGCTCGCGAGGGCAAATCAATCACAACCGTTTCGCGAGACTGTACTCTTCCTTTTTCACGGGGAAGAAATTATCCCTCTAAACGGCTATTAGACACGACCGGCCTGTGGAAGATTCTCTGAGAATAGACGATCTAATTCCGTGAACGGCGAGGAAGCGTGGAACGGTAAGGGAAAGGGGGAAACAGTTGGAGACGGACCACCGTGATTGCAATTTTAACGCCAATTTGACTTGAATCTCTCCTCCGGACGAAAGAAATAGTGTTTTCATGCTCAATATAGCGGCGTGCTAATAATTAACGGGCATGCTGCGCCACTTTGTCCTTCGCACGTACAGGGTGTCCTAATCGCGTTCATTCGATAAATCATGTCCAACATTTAAATACATCGTCTCAATTCAGTATGTTTTTATATCACGACGTAATTAATCCTATAAGACTGTCCATATGCTGAAAAAATACATACACCATAATGCACATGCACGTTTAATTCAATCTAGCGGAATCGATACAGGAAATTAACTGTTAAGTGAATCAGGCCAACGAGAGTCTGTACTAAATTTCTGATCATTCCGTTAGAAAAAACAGCTGTAATGTAATGATCGCAGAAGCGATTTGACGAATCGTGTTTCCTGAAACGGTTCTAGGAAAGCTCGTTGCGAAACTGGCGGACACACCGTGTATAATACGTGTACCGAGGCTAGCGGGTGGTCCTCATTATGTCGGCTACCCCACCGTTCGTCCGTCCTATCTATTTAACGTATCGTTTGCCTTGGTAACCATCCAAATTGGCCTATCCCTCCTTCCTTACGCGCTGGCTGCCATCGTACCGATCTCTCGCTCGTGTTCACCCTTAATTATTGAGAAGCCGATCTTTAATAACGCTTTCGCTTAGCGCGAAACGCGGCCTATAATAGAAAACACTCGTCGTTTCCTGTGAAGGAGTCCGTGACTTGATTACTGCTAACAGAACGGCAGAATCGTCGGTTCATTTATAGAAACGATTAGCAAATCGATGGGTGCGGGCGGTATACGTTGGAACGAAATTATTTCGCTGAAACTGCAGGAGTTTGGTGGAATTTCTCGTCAGTAAATGTACAACCGTCGGTTCACGTTATTTTCAGTTTCTAGCGTTTCCCGTTTCCATCGAAATGTCGTAAAAACTAAGTTACTGTTCGAGGAACTGTTTCCAACTTGTTTACGTGTATTTAGATAACGATATCGAAACAAATTAAATTCATAAGCTTTAACTATTCTTTTATAATAAGATGACGAACCTATGACCTATGGATTATTCTCGAC